TCTTCGTCCCCGTTTACTTTTCCTTTTTTTTCCAGTTTTAGTCTCTTTTAACCTATATATCAATATTATCCCATCCCACCCACCCCCCAGTTTTCACCCCTCGTTACTCGATGATAGCGTTTCCACTCTTAAATCTTCGTTTCTATTCTCCCCCCTTTCACCGTCTTCGCGTATTTTTATTACTCTTCTCCCAGTTATCCGAATCTAGAGTGTCCATCGACACGGTACACTACTTAATCGATGAGAAATATAAACGCCGGTGCTGGATCGTTCGTTAAAATATCTCGCGCTTTCGCGCGTTCGTTCGCCCCTCCCTGTTGTCGTCCCTATTACTCGTACTCCTGTCACTGCGACTAGCCTAACCTCGTTTATACTCTATCAATGAAATCCTTATTAAAAAAGAAAAAAAAAAAAGGAAACATCATCTACGCGTAGATATTATCTCTTCGTATATTCCCTCCTCGTGAGCGAAACGCGCGACACGACACGCGTTCCTCGCTCGCTGAACGCGAACGCGGGCTTTTCACCCCGTATCGACGATCGTTCGCCGTTACCTTCTCCGGAAATCGGCTCGCGAACCCTTAATCGAGCCTCATATCGAGAAGATCACAACGACAGGAGAATTCGTTAGCTAAAAAATGGCGACGCGGCGAGTCGCGATGGCTCGCGCGTCGCGCTCGTTCCCCGTACAAAACGCGGAGAACTAGGGGGCTCTGAGAGCCGGTAGGAATGTTCTATCACGTTCGAATCTCCGGTCGAACAAGAGCCGAGCATTTATCCGCGACGATTTCCTAACGCGAATTTTCTCCACCTGCTTATGTTCTCATCTTTCAATGGCGCGATCGTGAGACGAACCTTATGTATGTACAACTTAAGAGAAAGGGCCTGCGGGCAGGGGCGTACGCCCCGCGTCGCCGGCCCCGAGTTTCCTATCCTTGCTACCACTGACAAAAACTTTGCGGTTTCCTCGGGTTGAATATAAAGAAAACGTCGGGTTTCGTTCCCGTCTGATCCGGTACGAACCGCCAATTCAGGATTACTCGTTCGATTACTGAACAACGAAGTGGCCCCGGGTTCACCCCGAACCCGGCCCGTTGCAGTGATCGCGCTATAGAAACTAACGTGGTACCGGGACGACGCGCTCGACGGGGCTGCGCTCGAGCGACACGCGAGGTCCGCTCTCGAGGAAAGGAGAAAAAAATCCACGAGGTACAATACACGCGGCGTGAGGTGAAATATGCCGGAGTGAAACTGGCCATCGTTGTTTTCCGTAGCGCACGAAACGGCTCGAAACGAAGGGGGACACCGTCCGTTCCGAGTCGTTCCCGGAAGATCCACGAGAAGGGTTCCTCTTCTGCCTCTCAACCGGAAGCTGCGGAGGATCCGTCCAGCGGATCTCGCTTCCATCGTGGGTCGATACGCGAGTATCGTCGGTTCCTCTAGAAACATTTGGACAAATATAGTTTTATACGTGGTCGTGGTCGATATAGCGGATAGTACCTCGAAGTGTGACGCGGCGTCCGCTCGAACGGAAGCCAGCCCTCGGTCGTCGTCGCGGGTTTATTACGCTTCCTTATGCCTAGGTTTTGTCGAAACGAGTGTCTTAAAATTAGGCGATAAATCGGTGAACCGTGTTGTTACGCAATAAATCGAAACGATACATTGACGCTCGAAGCTGTGTCTGTATACGTGTGTATGCGCGTGTGTGTATGTATGCTGTGTTAATTCCTTGCCGTTCGTTGACCACGCTTTCGTCCTGTCTTCTTCGCTTCCTCCAAAAGACCGTCGTTTCGATATCGGTGTGGTCCGCGGCGAGGTCGGTGTGGACAGTTCGTGGCCTCGCTAGTAACTCGCGTAAGTCCCGATCGAGACGTTCGATCGATGGGATAATTGAAGGCACGAAGCGTAATAAAGTCGTCCACCCGCCTCGCGCGTGGACATTGTCTCGTGATTAGGTCACAGCCTGATCCTTCGTCGGCACTCCTCATCGTTCCT